TTTTTTTTTTGCATCAAGCTTACAAATATACAGGCGTCTTAGAACATGTACACTGTATCTCTCCTCCCACAAAGTTTTTTGCCCATCTGTAAGTAAATATCGTAGGACTTGCTTCAACATAGATGCGAAGAGTACAAAGCGAATCACCGCGCTCTGCAGCACTGTAGAATTACGGTGGAACCTTCCATGGTACACCGCCGCTGCGATTCACGTGCTATTGTAAGAAAATTCCAAAGAATATGAAAAGTCGCAGTGTTTCCACGCAATTAATTAACTTTTTGCAAAATCCCAAAGCTTTCCAAAAAAGTAATTACAAGGTGCGCAATTACCGGCGCCAATATTTGCACCGCTGCCACAAACTAATCACTGGGAAACATTGGCTTAAATTCATGTCGTAAGATGCACCAATAAAACCTTACATAAGATACTTTAGAGAACTCAAAAAGACCTCTTTTCAGAAATGTGAGATTTAGAAGAATAAGGCTAATAGTTTTGAAAAAGCAAAAATGGAATTTCTATGTCTCCGTATTTTTCCCTGCAACTGATTGAAACTAAGGCCTTCTTAAACCATTTAAAACATAGTATGTAGGGCACATTCCGCAGTACCACCTGGTTCTAGTTGCATTTGCGAGAAATTATTCCTTCAAGAAATACGAAAATGTATCAATACACGCGTGTGAGCAAGGACCTTATGAAAAACGATTTAAAAACATGTCTCTATTCATGATTGTAGAAGAGTAAGTGTTATCGATTTTTGAGACAAATTTCGAAACTTATTTAAAAGAAATTTGATTTTCGGGCGCACCCAGAAGGTCCCAAAAACCGCTGATTTCCCATATGCTGCTTCTCAAGCATGCTTTGTAAAGTCAAAAACTCCTTTCCAAATTAACTTTCAGAATTCCTTGCTCAACAGTATGTATTAGCCGCAGAAGTCTGCTTTACTTTACTGCGCAATTCCAAAGCACGTGAAAAGGTTTGCAAACAGATATTATAAAAATTCTCTAAATTATGCACGAGTCCAAAGTGCAATTCAGTTGACGAGAGAAATCGAGATTTTCTCGAAAGACAGAGCACCCAAAATCTAAAGTGACTTCTGCCTTACTATGGTAATGGTTACTGGAAACAGATGCGTGCTTGAGCCACCGTTAAGCCCGTCTTGTAGTCTTCTAGCACCCAGGGAAACACGCACCGATATTTTTGGCACATCCTCGATATTCTTAAGAACTGATACTAGAACAGTTGTCACCTTATACTTGGCATAACATATAAACAAAGCATTACGGTAGGCAAATATTATATTCAAAGTAGCAACTTTAACTGTCAGAGTTCTGGAGTTTTTAGTAAGTTTGTTTTCCTTTCTGAGGCAAACTGCTCTCCTGAACTTCATAGTAGTTAACTTCATAATTAACTTCTTAGTTAAAACCTGTCAATGTTCGCCCGCTTGCGCCCAAAAGCTCTAGAACAGCTCTTCCAAAAGCGCGACTTTCGAAGCTAACGCTCGTTGAGAACACGTTGAAAATTAAAACTACGTTTTAGCATTTTGATGTTTGAACTCTAGAGGTCACCATGACTATTCTTAAATGTCACTCTTAAGAGAAAGAGTCTATTCCGCTATTATAATTGTATTACTGCCAGTACTGGCCCAGTGCTTACAGAAAGTTGCGTCGCCGAAGGGTCGTTCTGCGTTTTTGGGTGCTTTGAACGTTTTACAGCGCTTTTGGGCGAAAGATGATAGCTCATTAATACTGGAAAAATGATTAAGAATACCTCTTTCATGTGCAGCGGCTTCTCGAAGCCTTCGCATATGCTCGATCTCGAGCTGGAGCTCACGAATTCTTTCGTCGAACATTCCTAAAGTAAACGTTAATATAAACAGCTCCAAAATATTCATCACTTACTTCCGTGTGAACTCACTCCTCCTCGGATTTCACGCCAGCCTGACATATTGCGAATCTGCAAATGGACGGATTTATCTAACAAGGGAAAGACCAAGGGCTATGAAGATTAACGACGTTAAACGCGAGAGAACCGAGAAATGAAATGAAAAGCAAAATGAGGTCTCACCTAAGACCGTGGTGGTTAACATGTTGGCAACATGCAAGAAGCCAGAATGTGCAGCACGAGTTATTGCATTTGCAAATATGTTGCTGTATGTTGCCAATATATTAGCCAGCACTATGCGACGTGATTAAGAACTTTATTAACTTGTATTTCAAGTGAAAAATTTTCAGTTTATATGAGGAAAGGGGGTGATAGTTATTTAAAAACGAGCGGCCGCCGGACGTTCAATATTAGCAACCACAATGGAGTGGCCGCCGGCCGCTATGATTTTTTGGGACGGTCGCCGGCCGCTGTGATCTTTTGGAACGGTCACCGGCCGGCAATTAGCTCCGCCCA